TTTTTGGGAAATTTTGGGGGGATTTTTTTGATATTTTGGGATTTTGGGGGATTTTTTTTTTATTTTTTGGGGATATTTTTTCAATTTTTTTTGGGATTGGGAGATTTTTTGCATTTTTTGAAGGTTTTCGTGGGTGGCAGCATCGTCAAAGGGGGTCCGGTGACGGTGTGCGAGGATGAGGAGCTGCAGGAACAACCGGAGCCCTTCGTCATCCAGGTGGGTGCCAAAATATTCCCAAATTCCCGGTTTGGGAATGGTTTCTTCCACCCAAAATCATCCCAAAATTCCCGGTTTGAGAACGGTTCCATCGTCACCAAAATCATCCCAAAATATCACCCTGGGATAACCTCCATCCACCCCAAAATATTCCCAAATTTCCTAGTTTGGGAACGGTTCCATCCACCCCAAAATCATCCCCAAGTCCCACACTCGGATCGATCCCACCCACCCCAATTTCCCTTTTGGGACTGATCCCATCCCCAAATCCCATTTTGGGATCAATCCCTTCCACCCCAATTTCCCTTTTAGGATTGATCCCATCCCAAATCCCAATTTGGGATCTCCCCACCACAAATCCCCTTTTTAGATTGATCCCATCCACCCCAAATCCCATTTTGGGATTGATCCCACCCACCCCAAATCCCATTTTGGGATCTCCCCATCCCAAATCCCCTTTTTGGATCGATCCCATCCACCCCAATTTCCCTTTTGGGATTGATCCCATCCCGAATTCTGCTTTGGGATCGAACCCACCCACCCCAAATCCCCTTTTTGGATCGATCCCATCCACCCCAAATCCCATTTTGGGATCGATCCCATCCCAAATCCCACTTTGGGATCTCCCCACCCCAAATTTTCTTCTGGGACTGATTCCATCCACCCCAAATCTTGCTTTGGGATCGACCACATCCACCCCAATTTCCTTTTTGGGATTGATCCCACCCCAAATCCCATTTTGGGATCTCCCCACCCACCCCAAATCCCCTTTTGGGATCTCCCCACCCCCGGGCCAGCCCCATTTGGGATTTTTCCCAAAATTTTTAGGGAAAGAAGRTTCCCGGGGGTCCTCAGATGCTGCAGCTGAGCCTGGACGGGAGGAGGCTCTACGTGA